GAGTTTGTAAAGAAGGCATAGCCAATCATGAAATTTATTAAACGCAGCGTTAGGTTCTGTTTTGCTGTAAACATCGGAAAAGGAAAAGCTTGCCAAATATCTTTTAAACTTCTCTATATTTTCAGAAGAGTAGTCCTTCCTATAGGTGTATAAGGTTTTTGGGGGAGTAATCTTTGATTTAGTACTAAAACCAATAATATGCGCGGTATTGTGGTCCGATAAACAGAGAGGGAGGTTAAGTCCAGTTGCACCTTTAACATTTCTAAATATATGGTCAATACATGATAGGTCTCTTGTGGGTTTATAATTTTGGAGAATATCTAGTAAGTTGTTGGTCACATTATTTCTTATTAAAGTATTTATGTTGATATCTCCCACAATCACAATTTTTTGCATCGAGTGCTTATGCAAGTATTTACTAAGCACAAACTCCAGTTTATCCAAAAAGCATTCAAAATGCCTTTTTTGTAGCAGTTGAAGAACGGTATACGCAGACAATGATTTTGTTGTGATAAGGTATTTTTATTGAACAGCATTCAAAATGAAAGTTGGCTGAAGCTTCGTCAAAAATGGTTATTTGCTTGAATGCTATACCTTTTTTACCATTATGCAGGTTCCACCCCTTTTTTTGTTTCGTGAGTAGTGGGCCGCAAGTTGGTAATTATGTATATTAATATTTTTTCACCACACTTCAAAGTCTATGATACAGAGAGAGTCACTTCAATAAGTTCTTTCTTTGAAGATAAACCCTGAATATTTTGATGTAGGATTACGAATATATTGTTATTATTGTAATTTTTATTGAATAAAACTATTATTTACGGATTTTATCGCGTTTAATTACTTTAATTTATTTTTATTATCCCGACGTTTCGGATGCTTTACAACACCCATGGTCACGGGGGGGGGGGGGGGGGGGACTAAGATGTTTGACGTCCCAACGTCATAGTCCGGTTACCTTCAGTTTTTGAATATTAATTTTTGGTCCGATTTACGCAAAACGAGCTTATAGTATCATGAAGTCTTGCAGTGGTATGCTTGGGTTTGGGTTTAATTTTGTTAATTATAGGATCCCAAGCAGATGGCAGCACCATCCCTCTTCTCTATTGAAATTTGGATGTTTTTTAATTTCAATAGCCTTGCAACCTTGGTAGGAATCGTTCGTGTTCTTTTGCGAGGATTTGTGGTTTATCAAATCGAATGTAATGGTGGGGACGATCTTGAACATGTTCGCAGACTGCAGACTTCCCGGAGCGCCGGTGCTTCACGTCTGCTATATGTTCCTTTACGGGGGTTTTTATAGATCTTTTTGTTTGACCTATGTAAGAGAGACCACATTCACAAAACGTGTAGTGTTCGCGTAAATTTAAGTAATCATTATGTAATTTTTATTGTAAATATTAGTTATTTTTGCTATAAATAAACTGATAAAAATTACATTTGCTACAAAACTCTCATATCCTTATAGTTTTAATAAAAAGATTTTTATAAATGTATTGGTCAGATCTTAGAATTCATAATACCATTAATTAGTCGATCATTTTTTTAAAGAATATTAACAATGCTATAAACATTTATTAATATTCCCCTTAACCACTCGTGGTAAGCTTAAATTGCTTGTGTTATGAGTGGTTTACGCCAGTAGTCGAATGGTGGATTCGAACCCACGACCTTTTTGAGTTCGCGGTCCGCGCTCTGCCATTAGGCTACTGTCGCTTTAATTCAGTCATAAATTATTGAAAATAATTTTTTTTATAGGATAGTGTGACAAACGCGTACACAGTCCACCTGATGGTAAGTGGCTGCTGTGGCCCATAGACATCTACACCTATCCTCGATTACGAATAAAAATGCAGATGCGTTATCACCCGTGAGCACTAAGATGGAATGCTTAAATACCAGCAAAAAGGGTCTCCGGTTCTCTACACTCACCATACGAAACACAGCAGCATTAAGCTACTATTTTACGCTGGTCTTCTGTGATAGCGTGTTCCTTCCCTGGTCGAGCCAATCCATTCGTGCTACAACTATACTACTAATATAACTTCAGCATGGCTCTACCACGTATAAAATGGCGGTATTTTATAAAATTTAACAGTTTTTGTTGACTATATCAAGATATAGCTGGACTAAATCAATGAATATAGATTCATCACTTTATGCCAAATGTATGTATTACGAGTATATAAATGTAAGCGGTTTTCCACTGATATTTTAATTGCAATTTGAAGTTTTGATTATATAACGTTCTCGGTGGTGAAGAAAAAGATCGCAAGGAAACCTGCACAATATCTGGGAAGTAAAAAAAATATTTCGGAAATCATTCTTACGTATAGGTCACAGTCAGCCATCCCGCGTTGGAGTCAACTTGATCAACTCCTTTTTGACTTAAAATTCGCTGTGGTCTGTGCCTATAAGTGGGATGTATTTAGGCTGCTACTTTTTTACTTTTAATCACTGCTGATTATGGGCTTCCCCCATTGTTTGTCAAATAAACCGAGTATTTGCACAAGAATTCACGATTGGCAAGCGGGTTGGCAACCGCAGCTCTTTATTACTTTGCGCTGTTGTCGAGAAGATGCCGCCCATCTCCTGATTCAGTTCCCTCCGTCGCCTCTTAAGACACTCACGGGACGAAATGGGGTTGTGGTTTCTTTTTCGCCGCCTCTACATGGTTAATATATTATTTCTACTCCCGTTCATCAATTGGATTTCCTCCACAGACTTCCAAATAAGTTGCAGTGGCATGCGAGTTGCCAACTGCAATTTTTATTGTTATGAGCTATGATCAGGAGGACTCTGCTGCCCATCTTATGTAGATTTCTACTTCTGTTCATGAATTTAGTTCTTCTAACGCGTTCACCGTGAATACAAATACTGGCACGTGGTGCTAATCAATATTCAATGGGAACCAATATTAATAAAGACCATGAAATTAAACCTTATTTTATCAGAACTATATGAACTTTAATAATGCATACTGCATTTTAGAAATAAAACATTTCCGATTCCAGGACAATTTTCGCTTCATAATTTAGCGCCAGAAAAAATCGTATTGTAAATTGCCCATCGTTGATCCGATTTTTACGTAGCTAAGTCAAGTAAAAGTAACAAAAATATTAATATGGATATTACATCGTATTTGCGAGGGACGTCATTGAATAAGATTTTCTCGATAGAAAAAATATGACAAAATTACCTCTTATTTATTTGAGAACCGATTAGTTCTGGTCGTGGTCGTGCATATCATCATGCAAAAAATAATAAATGACATTATTACATATTTTACTTATACATATATTATCTAGTGATGTCCTTGGGGATTGTTGAAAATTAATTACACTTTTCGAGTTATTAAATAAAATGCATTTGGCGGTAACTATAACTTTTTTGCGTGTAATAAATTCTCGTCCGTCTCATATTACGCGAGGATTCAAGGCTTCAAGTATGTTTTGTTTCAAGCATCAATCGCAATCACTTCTTCGTAACGGGAAGACTGTTTATGGACAGCGCCAGAAAAAATCGTATTGTACACGTTGTAATTAAATAAGTCGATAGGCGATAATAATAATGCCATCATTCGCATCATCGCATGAAAACACAATGTATCTCACAAGTAATACATATTATATTAAATTCGATTGCTTAGTGCGATTGCCAAGTCAATCTATTTATTTAAAACATATAAGATTTTTAATATTGATATGGTCACATAAGAAGTTGCTATGTTACCTAATTACATAATAACTTAAGACAGAATGACCCTTAAGTAGGGACTGAATAAATTAACCGACTTGGTATTACATGGATCTCACAACTTTTTACGATAGAAGAACTGAGTTGCGAGACTTGGTTTTTTTACAAGTTATGTTTTTGATGGCATCTCATTTATTTTTGCAGATAGTCCTACTTTTTTCCTTCTGGTACCTTCTACTTCTTAATTACCAACAAAATATCTATCTACACCTTTTATTCCATTATATTATACAAATACAGGTACACTATATATCTAGAAAACTGGACCGAAATTGAAAAATATTTTAGTTTTTCCTTAATTCATACACTAAACACTAATTGTGTTCTAAGTTTGAAGCTTCTATGTCTGCTAGAAGTGCCTTAGAGTTTTGATGATCGGTCAGATAGTGAGTGACAAAATTGAGAAATTTTGACTAATTATAATTCCTAAACTACTGGTTCAAATTGAATTAAATTTGAGATATACCGTATCTATACAACGTCTGCTTGGTTTATGAAAATTCAGGTTTCTAGTTCTATCCAAAACGAAGTTATAGGGGGGTCGAAAATGTTCTGAATTGCTTCAAGAAAAGTATGGTACGGCCGTGCCGCTTTTTTGCTCGACTTGGTGGGGCACTACCGTGCCCCCAGATACGACGAACATGGCGAACAACAAAGCGCAATAAGGAGATTTTCGTATTTATGTATGTTTCTTAGAATAGACTCGCTTTAAATATCGATCCTTACTATTTAGAGACTAAACTCAAGCGCTATCTTCATCAACGCGTAATAAGTGCAAAATAATGTTTTGTCTGCTGTTTTTCGCTAAATTACTAATGTTATTCGCAATTATTTATATTTGACTTTTAACTGCGGAAAATAAACGAATTAAAATAAATTAATAAAAATGATGTCAAAAAGTACTAAAAGAAAAATTAATAATAACAAATTAAAATTTTGGCTCAACCAGGGATTCGAATTCGGGTCCTCGTGATTAGCAATCGCGTTTACGGCTATAATATATTTAGGAAAAAAATTTGCGCTGCAAGACCACCTAGCAGCCGCATCCATCATCCCCACCAAAAGGCTTGGTGTCGGCTGGATCTTCTTGAACTCGGCAAGTGGCACCCGCCGCTGGTGGAACACGCCGCATTCGTTGGTCGCAAATACTGACCACAAACGCATTGCGGGCGTACTTTAAAGGGCCGAAAGGAAAAAAAACTGGAAAATTGGCGTATCGGGCTTGGTTGCTCGCTTTTTTGCAGACCTGGAGCCATCTCTAACCGTCACTGAGCAAAACCTGACAGACCGAGTTCGGTACATCCTTCGCTCCGACATATTTGGTAACGCCGAACTCAAAAGACTACGACGTGAGGCTGTTCCATCATCAGATGAAAATGCTATGGCTGAGAATGCGGCGCCAGTAATTGCACAGCAACCTGCATACATGGATGCCGTCGTGGATATTCCAGTTGTAGTTGATTCAGACGATGATGGAACAGTCTCCCATGAACTAGAGAAAATGAGGAGCATATTGGAAGAGGCAATGTCAGAAACGCGCAGTACGCCTCTCGAAAATCGGCCGCGACTTCCCCGCATACCCCTAAGCAAGCGGAATCGGCTTGTCATGCGTGATTTTAACAGGTGCAGGTGACCTATTTGGAAGCTAGCCGGGACTTTTGCGAGACGGACTCAATTCTTTTTGGCGCCGCACTGCCAGTTTGCCGTATTTTCGGGGCAAAATTTCCTACGACTGGATGCGCTACTAGACAAAGTAGCGCTACGTCTAACAGTGAAGGACCACGTCTCAGATCCGTAAGTCATCACTTACGAATCTGAGACGCGGTCCTGGTGGAAACAGAGAAGCACACACACACTTACACACACACGCACACACACACATACACATACACACACACGCACACACACACACACACACACACGCACACACGCACACACACACAGACACACACTCACTCTCTCTCACACACACACACACACACACACACACACACACACCACAGAGAGAGAGAGAGAGAGATGTTTGTGATAAAAATGTTTTCTCCTTATTTTCATTTTAACAGGTTTGTGTATTGTATAGCGAAATGATCTTTCATTTTTTATTGTATTTGTATTGCACTGCTCAGGGTGGAAGACGCTGACGGCTGTAACACAGTCTATACTAATACGGCTTTTAACGCTAACTACTTTTTAATGTTTTTTAATATAAAATAGATATAATACATAAGTGTAATCTGTCAAATTGAGAGTTAAATAAATTATTATATATAATATTTAAATTAAACAATAATTACTAAGAACTATAATCTAACATTTTCATACACTTATAATTTAATTTGCTTAATAAATAGGATAAATTTACTAAAGTAAATGACTTACGATTGTTTTTTTAATAAAGCCAATAAATCGATATTTATTCGATTTATAAAAATCCGATATTGATTTATTTATAATTATCGATATATCGAAAATCTGATATTTAAAAGATATCAATAGTCCTAGTTTGAACAGATCAGTTGAACTGACCGTGTGTGTGGAACATTCTTTGGCTTAAATCGGGTCAAAGATTGGCAATTTATGTTTGTACGCGCTCTTAATTTTGCTGTTTCGTAAGATGAGTGTAGAGAACCGGAGACTTTTTATTGGAAACGAGGCAATTCAACTTAGTCCTCATTAATAACAACACAAATGCATTTTGAATCAACGAATCGTAAATTGATGTAAATTTCTACAGGCTACGGCATCAAGTGGACTATGTGCTCGTTCATCATCTTGTTCTATAAAAAAAAAAAAACAATCACATCAGAATTCCCTACAGTCCAATCAATCGATGGTATATTGTCATTCACAACATTTAAACGTGGTAGAGCCTTGAGTACAGAGTACAGAGCCTTGAGAAATTTTGGTACATAGTTTTGTGGCCGTGGAAGGGAAAGGGGAGATCTCCCGCCGGGCAAGGTGTTCTGCCCGGGGAGCGGCCGACACTCCGAGTAATAGTTCGGAGAAGTTCTATATATACTGTCTATGATTCGGAATGTTAATAGCACGATTTAGGCTTCGGTGTGTTTCGGTGTGCTAGTGGCGCGACGACAGCGCCGCTACATGTTTTATAATGATTCTTCTAAGAATTTAATGAAAAATTATAATATAAATCATTATTCCACGTACTCCGTTAAAAAGGCCTCCATTGTAGAACGAGTAATAAGAACTTTAAAAAATTGGCTTTACAAAATATTCAGTCTATGCGGACGATATCAATGGTTCAAAAATAATTTAGATATGGTTGTAAAGCGGTATAATAATACTTTACATCGCGAATGCGATTTTAGTTATGTCAAACATCAAGAAGTCTCAAAAACCTAAGATACGTCAAGGAACAACGATTCAAGTTGGCGATTACGTTCGTATAAGCAAATACAAAGGAGATTTTTATAAAGGTTATACCCCTAATTGGTCTACAGAAATATTAATTTCGTATCGTTAAAGTCAACCAAATCAATCCTCAAATCTATCAAATAGAAGACAAACACAATCAAAAAATTCTTTTATCTTATTGAAAAAGTCATTAAAAGAAAAGGAAATAAGCTTTAGTAATGGTTAGGTTTGAGTGAAGAAGAAAATAGTTGGGTGGATAAAAGTGAATTAGTGGTGTAGGTATGTAAATAACTTATTATTACTTAATAATCTCATTTTATACTTATCGATGAAGTAAGGCAGTGGTATAATTAATATAGTAATAGACAATTTACCGTTTGAGTTACATTTACCTGGTTATCAATTTTGCGGTCCCGGAATGAAACTTCAAAAACGGTTACTCAAAGGTGATCGTGGGATAAACAAATTGGATGAAGCGTGCACACTCCATGAAATTGCTTACACTAACAAAGATTCGGGCGCTCGACAAAAAGCGGATTTAGAACTTTTAAAAATGGCTAAGAGGAGGTTAAAATCAGAAGATGCTAGGAAAGGAGAAAAAATTGCCTCATGGATAGTCAAAAATGCGATGAAAGCGAAAATCCGGGCGAGGAGCGGTATAAAACCATTTAAGAAGAGCATAAAAAAATACAGTCTCAGTTGAAAAATCTAAAATCCAAAGACAGTCACTCGGCTATAAAATATGCCTATGCAGCTGCAAAGAAAATATTTAGTAATAAAAAAGGAATAATTTCACCCCGTTGTATTCCTCTTCCAAAGTGTGGAGGACTTTTGCCCCTTATTCCCATATTTGCAGGATTGTCAGCTTTAGGATCATTAGCTGGTGGAGCAGCGGGTATAGCAAAAGCTGTTAATGATTCAAAAGCAGCACAAAAGAGTCTTCAGGAATCTGAAAGACGCAACAGAATGATGGAAGCCGTTGCTCTAGGAAAAGGATTATACATTAAACCTCATAAACAAGGAGCAGGTTTATATCTTAACCCCTCAAAAAACTAATTAGACGGCTACCCAGACGGGCGCTCACTAACCTCGACATATTAGAACATGCAAGTGACATTCCATATTTTCGCGGTGTTTTCATGATAAATAAATTACCTTTGAAACCGAGAAAGATAGAATGTGGGATACTGAAATTGGATTACTACAGAAATTCTGGGGGTAGCCTTTGTAAAGCACAATAAATACGTAGAATATTATGATAGTTTTGGTAATTTAAAGCCCCTGTTAGAATTAGTTAAATATATGCATAACTTACCTATAAACTATAATTATGCACGACATCAAGCGTTTGGTGCTACAAACTGTGGACATCTTTGTCTAAAAATTTTAAGGAATTACTGGAAAAAGCATTCATATAGTGTATGAAATAAATAAACGTATCAGTATAAAAATGTCTTTCACTGTGTCTATAACTGGAACTGGACCTATCAAGAACTATTCACGACATAGAAGACTACTAATGTGGCCTTTTGTATTTTTCAACTTTCAATTCTATGCCCAATATAGATGAAAGAAACAATAATTTTTATTATGGTGAAAAATAAGTGATCGAAATTCCTGAAGGGTTTTACGAGCTTCAAGATATTTGTGATTATCTAAAAAATAATATTGTTGCGCGCCTAAGTTGACGTCATGTACCCGGCACTAGCGCCATACGCTAGTGCCGGGGACGAGAGCGAGGGGAACTTTCCAGAAAATGACAGCACTAATCTTTCAACCGACGGCGCCGTCTAGTGTCGAAACGAAGAACTAAGCTTCTAGAAGCCGACACTCGAACTTTCGACGCCTTGCGCGTATTTACTTGAATGGTCTGGATGTTTCGGTGCTAATGTGTATTTATAGGCGCTGCAAGGTGCGATCGGGGAAGTCTTGAATTTGGCGAGACAAGCGAAGCTTCGGAGCGAAATAAAGTGAATCAGTGTGGTTAATTATTAGTGTTTTAAGTTTAATTAGTGTAAAGTGAATTAAAGTGTTAATTTTGGTAATTCTATCGGCAATTTTTATTGTCACGAACCCGTAACAATTGGTGTCAGAAGTGGGATAAAATCATGCCGATTTTACCTAAGGAGGAAGCGGAGGGTGTCCGTACCCAAAGTCAACGCCAGCAGGAGACGGGCCAAAGAAGATTTGGTGGTGCAACGCCGCAGGCGTCTGAGGGCCAGCCGCCGGCTGCAAGCCCGTCAGTAGCTCCTACATCTGCAGCACCTGACTTAGGTGCTCTGATGGTGATGCTGTAGGAGCAGGCTCGCCGACAGGAGGAGCAGGCCTGTTGGTAGAAAGAGCAGCAGGAGGAACAGGCTCGCCGACAGGATGAACAGGCTCGCCGGCAGGAGGAACAGGCCCGCCGGCAGGAGGAACAGGCCCGCCAGCAGGCGGAACAGGCACGCCGATTGGAAGAGCAGCTGTGGGGCGGACAAGAGGAACATGCTCGTCGGTTGGAAGAGCAGATGCTCTTTATGAAGGACCTTCACGCTACCTATGGGAAGGAGATGAAGGAGGTGAAGGATAGGGTTGCTCAACATGACAACCGCCTGTCAGAAGCTGAAACCCGAATTGAGAAATCTGAAACCCGAATCGACCAAGTAAACAATCGGGTTGACAACGTGATGGCTGACTTAAAGAAAACGCTGGACGACCTCAAACTTGGGGATGGAACAACAGCTCCCGTAGTAGTTTCAACACCTTCGCTACGTGGATTCAAAGTGCCGCCGTTCGACGGGACTTCTTCCTGGTCGGCCTACAAAATCCAGTTCGAGGCCGTCATGGAGGCGAACGGCTGGAATAAAAGCCAAGCCATGACTGCACTCACCCTAGGCCTGCGCGACCAAGCCTTAAATGTGTTAGAAGCTCTCGGTAAGAAAGTGACCTATGAGCAGCTCCTTGAGGCGTTGGAGGCGAGATATGGTGACGCCCACCTGGAACACGTCTTTCGTGCGCAGCTTAAAGATCGCGTGCAGCGCATCAACGAAAACCTGCAGCAGTGGGCTCTAGAGGTGGAGAAGCTGGTTCGAAAAGCATACCGGTCTGTACCTGCGCTCATTGAAGGGAACCTGGTGCAGACATTCATCTACGGCATCCGCGACCTGGAAGTCAGAGCTGCTGTGAGGCTCGGTCACCACGAGTCGCTTAAGGAGCTTGTCCCATGTACTGGAGGTGGAAGCCGTGCGGCAGGATCATCGTTCCCATCGCGTCAGGGAGGTTGCAGCAGCTACAGGTCGCGACCGCAATAAAGGATACAGCCCTAGGTGCTATGGCTGTGGGGAAAGGGGCCATCTTCGATCCAGCTGCCCTAAACGAACCCTAGAAGGGGAAGGTGAACGATCTTAGAAGGGAAGTGCGGCTAAAATCACCGCCCAGCAGCAGCCGGGATACGACTTTACTATCAGACATCGCAGCGGGAAATCTCATGGCAACGCAGATGCATTGTCAAGAAGACCTTGTCCTGAAGATTGGAAACATTGTACTAGGCAAGAAAGTAAGGAAGTGGTATCCGTGAGGATGCTCAGGACAGACCACCTCAGCAACGAGTGGAAGGACAGCCTACGACATGCACGGCAGGAAGATCCGGACATCAAGCCGATTCTGGAATGGATAAAGGCCCGTGCTACCAAGCCTAAGTGGAGCGACGTCTCAGCGATGAGTTCAACCACGAAAAGCTATTGGGCCCAATGGGACAGTTTGGTGATTTAGGATGGAGTCCTTTGCTGTAAATGGGACAATGGTCGAGGAGATAGCTGTCGTTTGCAAATGGTTGCCCCTAAAGCTAAAGTGCCGAATGTTCTACAGCTGTGCCGTAATGGTCGTTCAAGAGTCTATCTGGGAGTTAAACGAACTCTACTGAAGGTCCGAGAACAGTTTTACTGGGTCCATTATCGTGACAATGTCGAGGATTGGTGTCGTACATGTACAAGTTGTGCGGCTGTGAGGGGACCTCAGATACGTAGTAGAGGAGCATCGAAATTGTACAATGTTGGTGCACCATGGGATAGGACAGCCCTTGACATTGCGGAGCCATTACAGAAAGGCGCAAGAGGGACTCCTAAGATCGTCCATGGGGATCGCTTGGCGCGTTATTATGGGGCCGATAATGCTCGGGACGAGCATGTCTTAGGAGGGGGCAGTGCTGCGCGCCTAAGTTGACGTCATGTACCCGGCACTAGCGCCATCTAGTGTCGAGGACGAGAGCGAGGGGAACTTTCCAGAAAATGACAGCAATAATCTTTCAACCGACGGCGCCATCTAGTGTCGAAACGAAGAACTAAGCTTCTAGAAGCCGACACTCGAACTTTCGACGCCTTGCGCGTATTTACTTGAATGGTCTGTATGTTTCGGTGCTAATGTGTATTTATAGACGCTGCAAGGTGCGATCTGGGAAGTATTGAATTTGGCGAGACAAGTGAAGCTTCGGAGCGAAATAAAGTGAATCAGTGTGGTTAATTATTAGTGTTTTAAATTTAATTAGTGTAAAGTGAATTAAAGTGTTAATTTAGGTAATTCTATCGGCAATTTTTATTGTCACGAACCCTCAAGCTCGTAACAATATTAAGAACACTGTACTAAAACTAGCTTGTAACAATAATACATTGAAAACCAATATTTTTTGCTCTGAAGATGTGCACACTAATAGAAGTGATTCACTCGAGTAAAATTTTAGGCTTTGGTATGGAAACAATAAAAGCAAATATAAGTACTGAATCAAAGGATCCTGCCAGTATGCTATCAACAACTATCGTGCGGATTGAATGCGATGTAGTTAGTGGTTCATTTGTCAACGGGAAAGCAAGCCATATAATTTATGAATTTGCACCTAATATACCACCTGGTTATCGAATAATTGAAATACCTAGAAATTTGATTTATTTTCCTGTTAACCAAAGTTCCATAAGTGCTATCAATATAAAGTTATTGAACGCTGAGAATAAAGAGATAAATTTACGAGGTGAAGAAGTACAACTGTATTTACATTTCCAAAAAAATATGATAAATTTCAATAAAAGCCCGTCTACTTCGTGTATCCGAGCCAGTTTTAAAGAACATCTCATAAAATCGCATCTCTTCAGCTAAAAAAGAAGCTTACCAAGTCTAACAAAGAATTTCTTAAGCTAGTTGGCTTGATAAAATGAATATTTTAAATGTATCTCAACAAACATCATACGATAACAGCATTGAAAGTTTTGAGTATCATTCATACAAACCATATGTAACTAGTTTTAACAAGAATGACGAAATACGTATTCCTATTAATCAGCAAGACCTGTACGTACTACTTTCACTCAGTAGTTTATATATCGAGGAAAAAGGTGAACGTGTATAACAGCACTACAAAAGAAAAGGCATCAAACATACATTTTGTCAATAATCCCGTGCTATTTCTTTTTCAAGATATGAACTTAATGGAGTAGAAATAGATAAAATTAAGAATGCTGGTATCACTACTACAATAAAATCTTACCTATTTTTAAATGAAAATGAATCCAAATGTGCTCGAGTTTGGGGCTGATCAACTGGCGGAACAAGCAATTCTAGTGGTTGAGCGTTTTCCGCGTCTATACCATTGAACAAGATATTAGGATTTGCAGAAGATTATGAAAAATTTATAATTATTTGTATACATGAGGTAGTATTACTACGAAGCAATACAAATCTTAATGCGATCAAGTTAAATACAGGTGAAGTTGTAGAAGATATTATAATAAATAAAATTGTTTGGCGAGTTCCACACATCAAAGTATCAGATCGTGAAAGAATCAGCCTATTAAAATATTTAGAGAAAGATAGAGCTATTCCATTGGCATTCCGTTCCTGGGACTTATATGAGTATCCATTGCTACCCAAAACACGTAAACATACTTGGTCTATAAAAACTTCATCGCAAATAGAGAAACCACGATTTGTGGTCATTGCCTTACAAACCAACCGCAAACATAACGCGAAATTATCAATGGCAGAGTTTGATCATTGTCACGTGCGAGATGTAAGAGTCTTTTTAATTCATC